CAAGTCTTTAGCCAGCGACTTCATAGACTGAGCTGTCCCAACTCTTGATGCAAGCAAATATATTATAAAAATAAGTGGGAACAATTCTGAAATACCCTATGCGAGAGTATAACTCTTAACCCTCTGTCACGTAAATTCACTGTATGCCGATGCTATCTGACCAGTCAATTACACGTAATTTCTAAAAAAAAATATTTTAGTATGTTCAGCATGGCAAAAGGTCCTTACTTACCTCCACTGGTTTCTTCTTGAAGGTGCCAACTCCTTCCTGTCGTAGCTGTTCAAGTAGTGAAGTCTTTCCTATTCCTTGTACACCAACAATCATCAGTTTCATGCGTGCATATGGTCGTGCATCCTCCAACACTGATTTTAGGTAACCAATCACATCCATTGTCTTGTACTTCTTTGAGTCAATCATTGATTTCAGAGGCTCCTGTAGATTACAACCTCTCGTGTTCAGGTTCCATAGGCGAGACAAAAGCCCCATCTGTGATGGAAGCTCACAGATATCTACGAATAATGATTTTCATTCTATAAAATACCCATAAGTTCTACATTATATTAATAGCTACATGGAAAGTGGCATAGACCTTGCTTCAAACTTTCACTGAAGTTTATACTGGATCACACATATAATGTCCACAAATATTATGTATGCTCTTTGGTCCTGCTTATTTTATGCCCATAACCTTTTGTCCAGCTATATTTTTGTACTGTTCATTTCATGTGCCACAAGTAGCAACTGCAAATTAACCCCACCCTTCACAGTACGAACACAGTTCTGTAGCAAAACAAATGCATTTATACTGTACTGCAGATGCACACACACGCACATACACACAATGATGTATGACTTTTATGCCTAAGCTACATCACTTGTGATCCTGGTAAATGTGACTGATACATTTAATAAGTCATCTGATATAAGTTAAACAAGCAACATGGCTCATGTCTGAAAGACCAAATGATGCTTTTGACAGTGATCAAAAAAGTTTCATATAAGAAACTGTAGATTACTCAATTCATAGAGCAATGTTTTTATTTACCAAATAAAGAGAAAATTAAAAAGTTCTAGCAGTACTTTACCTAAGTTTCCACTGATATTGAGAACAGAAAGGTTGTTAAGTTCATGAATATTATTTGGTATCTCTCGCAGTTGGTTGTTGCTGATGTCCAACATGCTCAGGTTAGGAAACATGAAGCGAGTTTTGCTCTGACCTGTTGGGGAGCTCAGAACATCCTGTCAAATAAATCATTCAATAATACTTAAATATATTAACAGAAAACTACAACAATAATCATGAGGGGGTAAAAAATAAATAAAGGTTTATCCACAAACAGGAGGGTGTTTCACAAAATATCATTCAAACTAACACCACTAGACAGAACAAAGTGAATACCGAGGATGCGAACGAGATCTGCCAAATAGCTTAAATGTTACATTCACTTAAAAATACATACCACAATCTGTACTGCTGTAAAGTAACTGACTGTTGCAGGAATGTAAACACCAAGCTATTCAGGTTTAAATCTGTTAATTTGTAAGACAATGTACATAACTCTAGCTGCAATTCCAAGCATATTGCCATTAACCCAATACAATTTAAATATCTCTGGTGATAAAGTACGATTCTGTAGACCTGTCTACAAATTTATTTTTCTAACTCATATATACACAAGAGTATCCATATTTCACAACCCAACACAGAAAAAATATAAGAAATATGATACCATTTGGGTTGAAAAGATATGTGGTGGATATTCAGTAACTGGAATAAGACAGTTCTCACCCATTCAGATTCCTCCTCTTCTGAAACTGAACTAGCTCCATCATCATCAGTTGACAACTGGATACGTGAAAGGTTATTATCAGCTAAAACAAGAGTGCGGAGGTTGTCCAGACGCAGATGGCGTCGATGTGAACACACTATGTTTAGGATAGCACTGCGTAATGAACGACGACCTGAAGACATGGAATAAAGTTTTAACCAACAAGCAAAAGATTATTTGTCTTTAATATATTTCTTTATTTTATAAAATAACATCCCATCCTGGAAAAGTGTTAAAGATATAAATTTATTAGAACAAGGGCAACAACAGGATGACAACAGATAAATGAACATTACCATATTTTCTGGAATGTAAGACTTTCCTACAAGGTGCTGTAATACTAAGTGTCCAGATTTTACTGAGCCTTTCTGTTTTCTTTCATTATAAAATGCAGATGCTTCACAATAAGCTACATTGTTTTGAATAAATGCAGATTTTGCTTTTATAAAATTAAAAATATAACGCATTTCAACACACCATACAATTACATCACGTAATAAAAACCTTTGTATTCTAACTTACTTTGATGTAATAATCTATCAGTTACATGAAATAGTACCTTGCAAAACTGGAAGTTTGCTACCAGACTTGCTCCCACAGTCAGCAGGGGCATAACAAGCTGTCAAAGCCTGCTCCATACTGTCAATGCCTTCAACTTGTGGCAAACTTGGCCAGCAACAGATCTGGTTATGTGAGAGATCTAGCTGCTTTAGAGAGCTTGGATAAGATGTGATGTGACTCATGCTGCGTAAGCTGCAACAGAACAATTCTTATACCTCACATAATTATTATCTACAACTCACAAAAGCCAAGGTATAAATTCTTGTAATGACAGGTATCAGAAACTTTCTTCAAATTTTGATTTGCATATTTATGGACAGAGCATAACATAATGAAATTCTGGTATATGATTTCCATAGGTCCAAGAAAAAATAATAAAGAAAAATACTTATATATCTTTATTACTTTTAAATTTCTAACAAGACTGTTTTCAAACTTGGAGGGATATTCTGCAGCCATCTTATTTTCACTAATTTTCTATACACTTACATTTTTTAAACTGAATTTGATAACAGAATCAACATATATTTCTACTGGAATCTACATGGGAAATAAACAAGTTCATAAAAATTGATATTTTTTCATCTAGATACATATTTTATTGGCATTTCATTAACATTCCAGTTTCAGCTCAACTTATCTTTACCTCTGTATTTTTACACATCATCTTAATGGTAAATACCACAACCACTAAGATCTGTAAGACGCAGAACAGGTAAATCTTCTGCTGACTAAAGTTTTACATTTTGCAGAAATATGATTTAACAAACCTGTTGTAGCTGAGGTTCAGCCTTGTGAGATTTACTGCAAGACAAGACAATGCTACTGGCACACTGGTGAACTGGTTGTGTGCAAGATTCAGTGCTGACAGCTGGGAGCAGTTGCCCTCATTCTCATCATCATGGTGCAGTATTTGTTCTGTCACCTCTACGCTGCGGCTCCAGATATTGTGATGAGTTACATCAAGCTGCCTGAATTACAAAGCCAAGCAATAAGGATGCTTCTTAGCTTCTTTCAGATTTCCATATCATAACTGTTGTTGCTTCTCTAACCCCTCTGTATTTAAACTTCTTATACTCTATCAACTTTGAGAACAGTGAAGTGATTCTGTTCTTAAGTGGAGAAATCTATGAGGAATACTCCACTAATCCTAATAATGGAACAATGACAGACAAGGTGGAGGCTCAGTACTTCACACATTCACAAAGTTACTGTCAGACATACGAGAAGGAAAAGGCATGCAGGTAAATACGCATGATTCTAGCTTGTCTTAAAAATCCATGTCATACCCAATGATCACCACGTTCCCATTACTTCAACTATTGCTTAATACAATAAACACTTCAATCAGCAACTAAATGCCAGGATTGCAAACTCCCAATTTAGTTCTCAACACTGAAGGATGGCGAGGGAGGCAGGAGATTGGGAGGGGGGAGGGGGGAGGCTCAAGCAAAAATATTATGAATGTAACACCTCATCATCATCATCTATGGTGCTTCCGCCTGTTTTCGGGCCATAACCTCCCCTCCTGTAACACCTAGGATACATTAATGTGTAAATATGTGATATTAATAAGCTGATAGTGCAGGGTAGACTGTAAAACTATGGTCAATAATGCTTATTACACATGATCAAAGGAACACAAAATATGGACAACAAAGCAATGCAATTGTACAGATAACATGAGAAGGAATATAAAAGTTACAACACACAGTTCAGTTCCATCGTAGTCTCTTGTTATGAACACAAAGTACCATGATACTTGGCTTATTTAAGTAAGTGCTGTCAACTGTGCAGGTTATATAGTATAAAATGGTAGGATAAGTGCAAATGAAGATTAAAAAAGGAGTTGAAGGGAGACACTTTCAGGTACCTTTCTGGCACAGAACAGTCTGGAAAAACATGAAAATCTGAGTGTGAAATAAAAGTCTCCAGTCTCTGGATTTTGAAACCACGGCATCCTACATAAATTCAGGAGAGCTAATCATTATACAGTAGTGTCTGGTATGTTACAAGTATACCAGAAAGATCTCAATGGTTGTCAACAGCCAGAAGTAATGACAAAACTCTGAAGTTAGTATATATAGTTTAAAAATACAGAACTCAATTATATAATTACGGCTTCCCAATTAGATAAGAAATATACAAGTGACATAAAGAAGTTGACCATACCTGTTCTAAAATTAAAATAACACTTACTGAACAGATTTGGATTTTACAAATGCAGTGTGCAGTGTGTGTGCATCCAGCAAATTCTCCTCACTGGTGGAGTTGCCTTCATTATCAGATGCTACAGATATATCCATACTTCCACTTAACTCCAAGACTGTCTCTCCACTGCCATACTGGTAGCCACTCCTACCAGAGTCAGTGGATGAGGCAGTGCTCACAGCATCTTGGGATTCCTGTCACAAACATATGTCTGCCTTTAAAGCATAAATCTGATAAACATCTAGCATTCTTCATCTTATGCAGCATAGAATGATTTCAAAGCAAAACACATACTTTTATTTGGCTGCAGTAATTCAATATTTTTGCTGTAAATATGAAGTACTTGATGAAAGCATAACTTTGCCATAAAAATCAAAGATAATACTTAAAAAATTTTACTAGTCATCTGTACTTCTTTCTGTGCATAAATCCAGTCATTAGACTCACCCCAGACGGATTTGTTGGAAGTTCCCTGAGAAGATTGAATGCAGCATTCAGCTCCTTTAGCTTTGGAGATTTCCACATGTTATAAGGCAAAGTATGCAATTTGTTATTTGATACATCAAGTGTCACAAGTAACGGCAGCATAAAAACTTCCTCGCAGATCTGATCCAAACGGTTGTCCTACAACACAAACTTTCAGTGCTATAGTGCTATCCTCTTCAACACAGGAATAAACCAAAACACAATCCCATATCTTAACATATTCAGAACCACGGATGGAAACTTCTACTGTAACTTTCACCTTCTTAAATGCCTGCAGTTAAAATATCTAGCTGTACCATGTTTTTCAAATGATCCTGCACACCATAATCAGAGATGACTGATTTATCTCACAAAACAGTATCACATCATAATAAAGTCTCTTTGAAACATTTATATTTCAATGTGTGTTAAAAATTTGTTTGCAAAACCTTGCCATGAGTTAAAAAATTGTCAAATTTCAGAGAAGTATTTGAATTTACAGCTGGGTCTTAACATGTTAGTTCATGCAGAACAGTGTCTCATTCTTCTTTCATGTGTTCTCACATCAAGTATATCTGATTCATCAACATAACATATGAAAATGAAACTTGTTATACAGTGTAAAATAAGGATTAAGAAAATCTTGTATTAATTTATAATTCTTACATGTTCATCCTATGATCATAACCTAGTTTCAAAATTAAAAATGTAGACACAAATAAAAGAACAACTACAATACAGTTTCTCTGTGTACACACTGACATACTTGTAGGTAGACCTCCTCCAACACTGGAGCAGTGTATCCCCACCTCTCTGGCATGGCAGCCCCTCTACCAGTCTTTAATTTCCTTGCGGGTGATATAACAGTAGCCCGGTCACCAGATGGTGGTAACTTCTCGATCTTGTTCTGTGCCACATTCAGATACCTAGAGACATAAACAACTGCTTTGAAGTAAGGACTTAAGAATATTAAAACAAAAAATTTTAAATTATAAATCAACCTAAATTAGAGGATAATAACAAGCAATACGAGAATATACTTCACTCCAAAACATTGGACTGAAAGGGGTTATTATTTGTATCTAATATGACCTTCCTCTTAAAAATGTTCTTAAAATTAACACGAATGTCTTCTTTTTATAAAACGTGATTCATATTTTCCACTGCATATACATTTTGTAAGTCTGCTAACAGATTTTAAAGGCTGCGTACCTGAGACTGGGGAGCTGAAATATGATAGGTGGCAACCAGGTGAGAGAATTCTTTGACAGGTCTATCCTCGTGATGGCATACAAGACAATATCTTGGTTTCGAGGGTTAAGCTTCAACTTCGGGTTCACATTCAGAGCTGCATCTACCTGTAAGGAACAACATAATGGGAGCTTCAATGTGCGGTAGTAGAAGTAGAGCATAATTACATAAATGGAGTATTTACTTCAATATACATTAAAAAAACATGCAAAGTCAAGGCAAAAAGCAGCTAAAATTTATCCTTAAAATGAGAAAACTCTTTACTACAAACCTCTCTTTAACAAATGCCTAACTACATAAAAGACAATACATTCTGGAAGGATACAGTGTAACATGCTTAATTCTTCCATCAAAACTGTGGTGGTTTCAAAACTTGATTGCTCGTCCATTTCTCAATACCTGTGAAAACATAAATCTCAATAAAGATTATAACTTACCAACCACTGTTTGCGGACTTGAGATAGGTCACACTGTTGATTGTGCCAATTGATCATGACTGAGGTATTTGGAAACAGAGAGCTGTAGGTGAGACTGGTGAGGCCTGACTGAGGCATGGCAGGTAGGCCATCTTCTGTCATTGCTGCTTTGTTCAGCTTATACTCTGGATCAGGGTATGCCTAGAAAACAATATTTGTATCTATTATATTAATTCCTGCACATAATTTACTTATCAACAAACATGATCACAAAACTATCAAGATGGTAAAGTTTCTAAAGGTATGCCGGTTTCACTGAGTTTCATAGAACATGGTCAATTCATAATGAAAATACTGATACCATAATGACAACTGATAAGTCACCTTTATAGAGAGCAACTTGGCAATGAGGATGTCATCTTTGTTGCAAGTGGCTAAATGAAGTGCCTTGCAGTCATCATCACGGGCAGAATGACGCAGCAGTAAGTCAGCCATGCCGATGTCCCTGTTCCTGCAGGCTTCAACGAGTGCTGTTGAGGCTGATGATGCAACAGAATCTTCTGCATCTGCCATTACCTGTAGCAGTAGCAGGTACCTGTTATCACTGTTGTCAAACTTATTTATCACCAATATGACATCTACAACACAGACTTATTCAATATTATTTTTCTACAAAGAAGCATCAAGTTCTGCATTCCTATGGGCTATCATAAAATGTGAATTGATGAAAACAAAAATGGCACTGTACTGTCCAGTGGGTACAGAAAGTAATGGTATGAAATAAAAAAGAAGTAATAGTGACAAAACAGAAGTTCTTGAAAAACGCTTTAATGTAAATATGAATGCTGTTTAATATGATCACTATTTATGGAGGAAAATAGGTGTTATCAACATATGACAACGGTTACAAGGGGTTTGATACTTTAATTCATGGCAAGAAAATAAACTTTTAAAGCACCAAAATAAGCAAAGTTGAAGACACCTATTATTTCCTAATGTTTTGTAACACACTTTATGTTTTTATTGTATTATTTTGTTTTACTCTCTTTACATATCATCATGCTCATCAAGAGAAGTTCCTCTACTAAGATGCGTAAAAATATCGCTCTTTTCTGAAGGACCTTGAGTGCCGACAAGAGACATTAAGGAATGCTTGACACTGGATTAGGAGTCCTGCCACATCAACATGCTTGTCTCTCACCAAAAAATTTAGCACTGTCTACATACATGCTCCACCCCACAGAAGTACATCTACACAGATACGCAAGAGCACTACAAGTCACTTACTGGGTCTGGCTGCCGACAAGGGATGTTAGGGTCTGCTCCACACTGAAGGAGGATTCCGGCCACATCAGCATGCTTGCTTCTCACTGCAGCATGCAGTGCTGTCTCACAGTTATTGTTACAATAAACATTTAACTGCAATGGACTTAGGTGACACTCATTCTTTCCCACTGTTCCTATTCCTCCTGGCCCCTGTCCATCAACACCTGCACAGCTCAGATTTAGGCGAGTCATGATGGAAATAATACCGTCAGAGATGCGTCGTCGTGTCGGACTCGGTACTTCGGTAATATTCTTTTCTTCTTCTTCACTCTGTTCCCGGTCTTTCACAGTCTGAAGACAACAGCAATACAGATATAAGTATCAAACAATGTAACATAAGGAATTCTAGAATTTGCAAAGTGGAAAGAGTTACACTTACATAAAATTTCAAATTGTGATAAAATTAGATATCACCAACTTCTTGATATGTCTTACTGTAGCCAACAAAACTATAAACATCTGTGTCAATAAACCAATGAATCAGAATAAGTGTAGATATAAAACAACTATATTTAATTCCTACCATCAGTTCTTAAAAATGAACCAATCTGAATAGGCAAATGCAGAGAATACATTTAAAGCAATAACTTCTATATAATTGCCAGCCCTCATAAGTACAGATTTTCACCTTAAAATTACATGCACAGTGAAAAGGTTAACTACAGGAACTACAGTAATGGTGGAAATTAACACACTGACAATAAAACAACAACAAAAAATTAACAACTGTGACAGTGAAATACTATTTTGCAACAAAGATATGTCACGTTACAGTATTTTCTGTTACGAATTTCATTGTCAAGGTTTTATTTCTGTAACTGATCAACTGATACAATGTACTAATCAAAACTGTAATTGTAACTCCTTTTTCTGAATTGTAAATACAGACTGGTTATAAATACTGAACAAAAATTAACTCAAAGATAAATAAGAAATATAAATTGGTCAGTTTCCTGATACACAAGAGCATCTATAATTTTCAGCTAAAGAACTGTGGAAACCCCACATTATATCTGTAATATTCAGTGCATATTCTAGCAGTATAAATTAGGACTTCCAGGAGACAAAAAACTAAAATTTACCTTAATTCTAGAAGCCTTCACTCGAAATTTTAGCAGCATGTCTACCATTCTGTAATTTCCAAGGAAACTTGCGACATAGACGACATTCTGGCCACTCACATCTTTCATATTTAGATCAAATGGCATCTCATATTCCCATTCTCCTGTTGGATCCCTGTATCAAAGAACAATAATAGTGAAACAAATGATAAAAAGTAATATTTTCTTCTTCTAACATCCTTTATGTTTTATATGGGCCCATACACCAAAGAACTGTATTATAGAAAAGTTACATAACAGAAAATTCTGGTTAGAAGCAGATATTTTCTATGAACATAAAATAACTCAAATGCAATAAATTTTAAAACAAGGTTTATAAAAAAAGGCAAAATTAATTAGGCGAGGCTTAGTTTGGTATTAAAAGAAAAGTTTGATAAGAGAACATCATTTCTGTGGTTTAAGGTATTAATTTGACACAGGCCAAAATGTAATTTCCCTGACAATGTTTAGGCAGTTCCAATAACATATTTCATTTCAATTCACAGAGCAGTTTCAGGGATAAATTTAACAAGTCTGACTTCCACAATATGAAATATCTGTAATCTCTGAACAAAGAGCATATAAAAATTACACCACATGGCTTCTATCTCGATGGTAACTACAATCACCTGAACTTCTGCATTAAGTGAGATGGGTAAGGAAACTTTAAGAGCAGTTCCATCACACTGACATGACCATTGATGCAGCATGCATGTATCGGCAACCAGCGCTCCACTGTGTGTTGTTGTACCAGTCCAGGAAACCTCTGAAAATTAAAAAAATGCTGGTATTAAAAAACGATTACAGGCTCACACTGTTCTTGATATATAAAGACACCAAATACATTCACTGACAATTTATTAACCCCATAGAAAAGAGTCCTCCTTAGAAGTTAACAGTCATTAAGGTTCAACTGTGAATAAAGAGCAACAAATATACAGAAAATATGTAAAATCACCAACTTACTGGAATAACAAGAGTCTAGTGTTGCCACTGAGTATAAGTAAAGTAAAGCGTCCCGCTACATGCCTATGCAGGCACTTGGGGGGAGCAGAGCTATAGCTCCTACTCTTTCTTGACCTTGGCACCAGATGGGGATGAGTGGTCAGCGTCAAGCCCCGGCCGTAGCGGGACGCAAAGCAACTA